AAGGAAGGAAGGAAGGAATCATGAACCTCCAGTCAAAGACTTGGTGACAAGCCACTCCCTTTCAGGCCCACCTGGATCAAGTTGGCAGCCGGCGTCCTTCTCTTCTCAAAATGTTTCTGCCGATGTTGCTCTTGGACTTTGAGAGCAAACCCTGAGCCCAGAATCCCCTGCACAGAGGAGGTAAAGAGAGCAAACCTCCATTCACCAGCAGAACATTGAGCCTAATGTTCCATATTTGAGTGCAGGTTCTCATCTAATGGAGCTGGCAGCCATCCCAGAGTCTGGAAGGAGCCATATCTCTGGCCCAGGAGAAATCTTCCACCAATGCAAGCCATCGAGGCTCAGAGAAGGTGGATAACCTCACCAACGTCTCAGCCTCCGGAATTAAGAAACCCAAGAGGATGGCTTCAAGAGGGTTTGAGGTTACCGAGAGACTAGAGGTGTCCCCCAAATTACATGAACCAACGCTGGTTCCCCTCTCCTGGCATCTCCGCTGATGTGCCCCAAGGATCCACTCAATGATATCCTGGCTTCTCCAATGCAACTGAAGGAAGCAAAGAGGAAGAGACACCCATCCTCAGGATAGTGGAGGGACCCGCTCAGGTCCCTGAGACGTCCACATCTGGAGAGGAGACGCACCCCCTACCCTGAAGGGACTTCTCTAATGGCCCATCCTTTCCCCAGTTCCATACGGATGAATGGGTGCTCCTCTTCCATTCAGCCATCTCTAACCGAACTCAGAGAAGTTACGCTTTTAAGATGAAAGCACCAAGGAATTCGAGGAATTACCATTAGGAAACCTTTCTAGGATCTGACTTGGAGTGTGAGTAAATGGTTCTAGGCAGGGAAAGGGTCGAGCCCCATCATTTGCTTCCACGTCTCCGGTGTCCCTGAGGTCTTGTTGGGACAGGGGGGACCTCCCACTCGACACGACAGAAGCTCCATGCGCCCCCTTCTCCCCTTCCCCTCGCGTGCCCCACTTACAGCTGGCAGGGCAAAGAAGGAAATGCCCAGCAGAGCGAAACAAGCTGCCAGCACCCGCCCCAGCCACGTCTGGGGGGTCTTGTCCCCATAGCCAATGGTGGTGAGCGTGATCTGAAAGCAAAGAAAGAGACGCCGCATAAATCCATTCTCCTTCATCCATCTACCTCTTCGCTTGGCACCACCAGCTTTAAAATTACCGCCTGTTGCACATAAAGTAACGAGGTGCATCCCAAGGCAAGGACAGGCAAGCCCTTTCTCGGACCACTTAAAAAAAATTAACAAGGAGCTTTTTCTGGAAATTTACAACACTACTCATTACTTTACACGAAGCATGCTGTAATTCAACTGGCCCAAATGGATCCCTTTAAAAATTATTTTGGAGCAATGGGCAAATATTATTCATTGCCTCAAAAAAGAACATTACTGGTCGTCATCATCATCATCATCATCATCATCATCATCATCTTAGAACTGCAGAGCTGTAAGGGCCTTGTGGATCATGGAGTCGAGCCCCTATCAAGGAGGGACAGTGGGGAATCGAACTTCCATCTTCTGGCTCCACAATCTTATACTTCTGTTACTTCTCAAACATGTTACTGGCAAAGCCAAGTGTTCCTTCCACGTTCTGGGCCAGACCAAATCCAAAAGGGTTCAACTTACCGTACCCCACCAGAGCGAGTCGGCATAGGTGAGAAAGTCTTTGTTGGCATCCTTCTCCGCCAGGTAGACCAGGAAGGAGGCAAAGATGAGGACCAGGAAGCCAATGTACCATGCCGTGATCAGCTCCTGACAGGAATGGAGAGGGGGGAGGGAAACGAACTTCAGTAACTCAACGTAAATGCCAATGTACCATGCCGTGATCAGCTCCTGCCAGGAATGGAGGGGGGAAAAACGAACTTCAGCAATTCAACGTAAAAATTATGTTAAATGAGGAGCCCTAGCTGAAACAAATGAGTTTTTGCAACCTCGCATGCTGTCTTTAGTTTGACTGGGAGGGACCTTTTGGGGCGGGGCTGGCTGTCAATCTAGTCAGCACTAGCCAATCATTCCCTCCGACCAAATTCAAAGAAAGGCCTCCATCTTTTCGGACTTTTTCTTTTCCCTCTCTTTAATTCTCTTGGAAGTCCATTGGTTTGTTAGTTGGCTGTTGATCTGTTCACAACAGTAAGTAATGAAATGTTTTATTCTTTCTCCTACAAATATGTCAGACTTATTGGTTATTCTTTCTCCTACAAATATCTCAGACTTATTGAGACTGTAAGCGCTAGTTAATGAAAAAGGGGTGGAATATCTGGAGAACTTGTAGCTATTTTCCTCTTTGATCCTCTGTACTCCTAATCCATAGCAAAGGGAATTTTACCACAAATCTAAAACGCTGCAACAGTATGAAGGCCAATATCGGTAAAGAGCAAAACTCTATGGAAACCATCATCTTCTTTACCCAGGGATGAAACATCCCAATCTTTTAGCAGGAATAAGATTCCCCTTTTTGCCACCTTCAGATGTTTGTTTGGTGAAGATGTGCAAGGCAGCCTTCTCTACGATGGTTCACAAACTCTGGAACTCCCTGCCAAGTGAAGCAAGGCTGACACTCCACCATCACCTCCCTGTTCTGTTCTCCTTCTACAGCAGACAAAAATTTATTGCCAAATGACATCCTGCTCAGGATGTGGGGTTTTAATTAGATGTGCTGATTTTCTTTCCTCCTTGATGCAAAATTGTTTTGTCTTTTAAAGATGCTGTTTTGTTTTGTTTTAAATGCATTGTAAACTGG